CTCCCTTTTTCCCCCTGTTCCCTATTTTCTACTTAGCCCTTCAGAAATGCAAATATAACCTTCACCTCCTCCTCACCAGACACTCCCTGCAGACAAGTTCTTCTGTGTGCTCCGTGACACATCTCTCCTTGAGCGTTGACAGATTTGCAGACCAAGGCATGCCCACCATGGGACTTTCACCTCCAGAGGGTTGCCTTGGTACACTCATCCACTAGGAGGGCACAGCAAAAGCACGCCCTTTTCCCACTTGGCCACTTTTACAACTTCTGCCCAGGAAGGTGCCAACTCGACTGGCTGGTAAATAAGGTACCAAACTAGCAGTGGGACCCCCTGCCCTTACCCTTCGTACTTTATCAAAGTGTCTCCTTTCTGCTCCAGAGGGGAAGCAGCACATTTGAAGGCAGGACACTGTATGCCCTTTCCCAAGCTAGTGTGAAAGGAAAATAAATCATGGGGCCCCCAAATCATTAAGGTAAAGGGAAAAGTCAAGCCGGGAATTGCTTAGGGCCTTTTGCTCCCTGAGATAAATGCCTATCTGGTTGCCTCTTTTGGAGAGGTGAATCAGAAACTCCAAAGAATGCCATTTGTCTCTTTTCTACCTGTGACCTGTAGGCCCTCTCCCGCTTTGAGTCTTCCCCCCTTTCCAGACCGAACCAGTGTTCGTCTGCATATGTTGATTGATGTCTCATGTCTCCCTAGCACGTATAAAACCAAACTGTGCTCTGATCACCCTGGGCACATGTCGCCAGGACTTCCTGAGGCTGTGTCATGGATATACATCCTCAACTCCAGCAAAATAAACTTTCTAAATTAACTGGGACCTGTCTCAGGTTTTTGGGGTTCACACTAGCTTTGCAGTAAATTTACTTTTTAAATATCAGGCCTTGCTCTTGTTGGACGGTACATGTGACAAGCAACCAGTCTGCATTTCGTTTTCACCCACTTTACCCGTGAAGAACCTGAACCTGAAGAGATCAAATAATTTATCTAAGGTCACACCGACTGAATCTAGATTCAAACTCAGGGTCAGTTCTTCCCATTAGGAGAAGGTTATATGTATGAAATGACCTGAACCTGAAGAGATCAAATAATTTATCTAAGGTCACATCGACTGAATCTAGATTCAAACTCAGGGTCAGTTCTTTCCATTAGGAGAAGGTTATATGTATGAAATGACCTGGCATAAAACCCCTAACAGTTAGTTTCTTTCCACTGTCGACAAAAAGAGTCAAACTCTGTAAAATATTTAAAGAGATTTATTCTGAGCCAAATATGAGTGACCACAGCCCTCAGGAGATTCTGAGACCATGTGCCCAAGGTGGTCTCAGGAAAGCTTGGTTTTATACACTTTAGGGAGACATGAGACTTCAATCAAAATCATTTAAGAAATACGTCGGTTCAGGTCAGGCGTAGTGGCTCATGCCTGTAACCCCAGCACTTTGGGAGGCCAAGGTAGGCGGATGACCTGAGGTCAGGAGTTTGAGACCAGCCTGGCCAACATGGTGAAATCCCATCTCTACTAAAAATATAAAAATTAGCCAGGAATGGTGGTGGGCACCTGTAATCCTAGTTACTTGGGAGGCTGAGACAGGAGAATCACTTGAAACCGGACGGCAGAGGACCTTTGCAATAAATTCACTTTTTTTTTTTTTTTTGGCGTTTTACCCTTGTTATCCAGGCTAGAGTGCAATGGCACGATCTCCGCCTCCTGGGTTCAAGCAATTCTCCTGCCTCAGCCTCCCGAGTAGCTGGGACTACCCAGCTAATTTTTGTATTTTTAGTAGAAATGGGGTTTCACCATGTTGACCAGGATGGTCTCAATCTCTTGACCTTGTGATCCACCCGCCTCGGCCTCCCAAAGTGCTGGGATTATAGGTGTGAGCCACTGCGCCCGGCAATAAATTCACTTTTTTAATATCAGGGCTTGCTCTTGTTGGACTGTACACGTGTTGAACAACCAAACCTGCATTTCGTTTACACCCACCTTACCAATGGAAAAAGCTGGGCCCAAAGAGATTTTCTTTTTCATAAGTATATGCCTCAAATTTATTGTGTAACAGGTGAAATAGAAATAAATTATATGAAAGTAGTCATGAAACATATACCCTTCACTGGTTATTAGGAGGCAGTCAATGATATTAGAAGTACATCGTTAACCTCTAAGAATATAAAATGGAAGGAAATGACCATATTTTACCACATCATGTCTTGATGTTACAGGAAAAGACAGAATCATACAACACACAAAACAATGGTTTATCACAGAATTGGTTTTTGTGAGGGGGTGGGGATAGAGTTTCACTCTGTTGTCCGGGCTGGAATGCAATACTGCAATCAGAGTGCACTGCAACCTTCATCTCCTGGGCTCAATCTCCTTAAGAGCAGTGAGCCGAGATCACGCCGCTGCACTCCAGTCTGGGCAACAGAGTGAGACTCCATTTCAAAAAAAAAAAGAAAGAATTACACTGGGTTAGTCCAGAAAGGCAGGCGAACTTGAAGGGGTGGGGTGGGGGTTCCAGTTTATAGGTAGATTAAAAAATGGTCTGGTTGAATATTGGTTTAGTTTTTCTCAAGACCTGGGAGCAGGCCGGGCACAGTGGCTCATGCTTGTAATTCCAGCACTTTGGGAGGCCAAGGTGGGTGAATCATAATGTTAGGAGTTCAAGACCAGCCTGGCCAACATGGTGAAACCCTGTCTCTAATAAAAATAAAAAAAAAAACAGTTGCTGGGCGCGGTGGCTCATGCCTGTAATCCCAGCCCTTGGGAGGCCAGGCGGGCAGATCACGAGGTCAAAAGATTGAGACCATCCTGGCCAACATGGTGAAACCCTGCCCCTACTAAAAATACAAAAATTAGCTGGGTGTGGTGGCATGCGCCTGTAGTCCCAGCTACTCAGGAGGCTGAGGCAGGAGAATTACTTGAACCTGGGAGGGAGAGATTGCAGTGAGCCGAGATCGCGCCACTGCACTCCAGCCTGGTGCCTGGCGACAGAGCAAGACTCTGTCTTTAGGGGGAAAAAAAAAAAAGACCTGGGAGCAATAGAAAAGACAATGTCTGTGTTGCAGTAAGAGGTTGTGGAGACCAAAGTTTTATCGTAGAGAGAACAGGTTGTAAATGATTCTAATCAGACTTAATGTATGTGTTAATGTTAAATGCTGACAGGTATAATGAGGGGTGTATGACCCCCACATCCAGTCATGGCCTGAACCAGCCTCTCAGGTTAAATTTTATGGGTCCTGGCTGGGTGCAGTGGCTCACGCCTGTAATCCCAGCACTTTGAGAAGCCAAGGCGGGCAGATCACTTGAGGCCAGGAGTTTGAGACCACCCTGGCCAACATGGTGAAATCCTGTCTCCACTAAAAATACAAAAATCAGCCAAGTGTGGTGATACATGCCTGTGATCCCAGCTACTTGGGAGGCTGAGGCAGGACAGTCACTTGAACCCGGGAGGTGGAGGGCGCAGCGAGCCAAGATTGTGCCACTGCACGCCAGCCTGGGCAACAGAGACCCTGTCTCAAAAAAAAAAATTTTTTTTAATGAGTCCCTTGTCCAAGACGGAAGTCCCTTTGAGACAGCTGGGTGGGAAGGGCTCCCTGGCAGAACCTCTGACAGCCTGCACACTAGGAGGAATATGCACTGGGGTGGAGCTATAGGAAGTTAGTGCCCTTTGTAGGGAGGGAGCCTGGCCTCTCTCTCTTCTTCTGGGATGTGGTACCTGGGAGTCAATCCATGAGGCAGGGAGCACACTAGACTAGCAGGACTCTGGCTTTGCAGAGTCCCTATTTCCCTTTTTTTCCTTTTTGCCCAATAAATCCCATTTTTCTCACTTTTCAAATTGTCTGTGAGCCTAATATTTCATGGTCGTGTGACAAGGACCCCACCTGTAGCTGAACTAAGGAAAAGTCCTACGGCACATTCAGATGGTTGGGTGGGGGGGCTTCGAATTTTATTTTTGGTTCACACCATCCTTAGATTAATCCCTGAGGACAGAAGATAACTGGATTAGACTAAATTAACTAGATGTGTCTAGTAAGGATGCTCTTAATTTCTCAATCACAGAGTGAGGAGTGGGGGGAAAGATAACAATGTATTGAATATCTAGAACTATGCTAGATGTTTTATGCGCTTTATTTTAGTTGATCCCTAAAGCAACTTTGTGAGGCTCTGTTGCACAGCTGAAGAAAAAAGGCTTAGAGAGGTTTCAACCCTTTGTAACACTGCACAGTTCATACAGCTGAAACTGAACCCACTGCAGGCTAGATCCAAACCCTCTCCTTAACATCCTACCGTGCTGGCTAACTAAGTGGACAAGAGAAGAGACAGTAAGAGTATAGCCACCTCAAGGTCTTCATTTAGAAAAAGTGAGAAAGCCTCTGGTAGTTCTAGGAGAGACGGGGACAGAGTGAAGGTGAGTGTACATACAATTGGGCCATTATTGATAGAGCAAGTGCCTTCCCACCCGGCCCTCCTCACTCACATCTGCCCCACCCACACAGCTTCACCTGCAGGCAGGCTCTCTCTGTGGCCTGGGGCAGCCATCTAGCCGCCCTTAGAAGGCTTATGAGAGTGTCATGCAATTCTGCACTAGATAATTGACAGTCTTGGTCCCAGCTGGAGAATCTCACCATAAAGGCTAAAAGTGGGATTGCTGGAGCCAGACCAATTTGTATTGGAATCCCAGCTCTGCTACCAATTAGCTAACCTTCGGAAGTTACCTAACCTTTCTCTGCCTCAGTTTCCTCATCTGTACAACAGGGGTAATAATAATTCATAGGACTAAATGGTAGGATTCACTGAGTTAACACTGAGAAAACTTTTAGAACAGTGCTTGGCAAGCACAGTGTGGAACACTCAGTCAACATTTATTATTATCATTATACAGACAGCGAGACTGAGGCCTAGCAAAACAGTGTAACTTGTCGAGAGAGACACATTTAGCAAAGCTGGGACCAGAACCAGTTCTTCTGTCTCTTTCTTCTTCTTCTTTTTTTTAATTCAGTCTCCATAGAGATTGTCAAAAATTGCCAGTGCTGACTATACTTCAAGCCGTCATGTCAGGGTATTGGGAAGATTTTTCAATTAGCAATAATCATGCCTCCGATAAACCTCATTGGCCACTATACTGCCACTGCGCAAAGCTGAGTTCTTCTCTTATTTCATTTTATTTTTAGATACAAGGTCTCACTATATTGTTCAGGCTAGTCTCAAACTGCTGGGCTCATGTGATCCTCCTGTCTTGGCCTCCCAAAGTGCTGGGATTACATGTGTGAACCACTGTGCCTGGCTGCCTCTTAATCCAATATATGTGCATATACTTGGTTAAATATTTTAACAGTGAAGATAAAGATTACTGATTTTTAAATCCATTCATACTTTGAAAATAATGTCAGCCACTTTCATATTGGCTCATACCTGTAATCCCAGCACTTTGGGAAACTGAGGCAGGAGGATCACTTGAGCCCAGAAGTTCAAGACTAGCCTGGGAAACATATGGAGACCTCATCTCTAAAAAAAAAAAAAAAAAAGAAAGAAAAGAAAAAATTAGGTGGGTGTGGTGGCACATGTCTACAGTCCCAGCTACTTGGGAGGCTGAGGTGGGAGGCTTGCTTGAGCCTGGAAGGTCACGGCTGCAGTGAGCCATGATCCCACCATTACACTCCAGCTTGGGTGACAGTGAGACCCTGTCTCTTAAAAAAAAAAAAGCAGGCCGGGCGCGGTGGCTCAAGCCTGTAATCCCAGCACTTTGGGAGGCCGAGGCGGGTGGATCATGAGGTCAAGAGATCGAGACCATCCTGGTCAACACGGTGAAACCCCGTCTCTACTAAAAAAATACAAAAAATTAGCTGGGCATGGTGGCACGTGCCTGTAATCCCAGCTACTCAGGAGGCTGAGGCAGGAGAATTGCCTGAACCCAGGAGGCGGAGGTTGCGGTGAGCCGAGATAGCGCCATTGCACTCCAGCCTGGGTAACAAGAGCGAAACTCCGTCTCAAAAAAAAAAAAAAAGGAGTGAGTTTCTTCCACAGTTTCAAGCTGAAAATTGTCACCTTATTAATTCATTAAAAAAACTGTTATTAAAAAAACAAGCTGTCATTAGCAAGGCTAGAATTGTTTTGAAGTAGCTCAGTGCTACTACTGGGCTGGGAGAGAGATTATCAAGTTTTGTAAGTGATAATAACTGCTGGCCATGATCACTTTTAGTTGTAATTATATAATTGTCTGGAGTGTTTCAGAAATGGATCTAATTTTGTTGTAAACTTAAAGAGATAAACCAACCATAAAGATTTGCATAGCTATAGTATATAACTACACATACTCTAAGTATAAAAACCCAATTCTTTGTAATTGGGAGATGGCCAATCTAGAATATTTTTATAGAAGAGCAGTTTTATGATAGGGTTTCAGTTACATTATAGGAAAGAGGTTAGGGCGTTGGCAGTGGGGGTTCTGAGGGCTCTCGAAAAATTTTCTGTGCAGAGATAGATATTTAATGAATCCCCAACTGTGGGGACATTCATGCAGCCTATGAATGTTCACTGTGTCTCCCACACTGGAGATTCAAAGACTTAGATCCTACCCCAGGGCTGTGGGTAATTGACACTATGGCTCTCCATGGTGACCAAATGATGGAGGCACCAAACCATGGAGGCCTCATTCACATCTGGGAGCAAGAAAGCCTTTTTGGAGATGATGCTTCTGGAGTGGAGTCGTTAAGGAGTAATTGGTTTTTCTGAGGTACAGAAGTTGGAGAATAAAATCTTCTAGGTAAAGAAGGGGGCAAAGACGAGCTGCAAGGCACGCAATGCTCACTTAGTCAAGTAAAAATGATAGTAGCTAGTGCGTTTGTGAAAATTAACTTGTGGCTAAGCACGATGGCTCCCACCTGTAACCCCAGCACTTTGGGAGGGTGAGGTAATCACTTGAGGTCGGAGTTGGAGACCAGCTTGGCCAACATGGCAAAACCCAGTCTCTACTGAAAATACAAAAATTGGCCGGGCATGGCGGTGTGCACTATTCAGGAGGCTATTCGGGAGGCTGAGGCAGAAGAATTGTTTGAACTCGGAGGTGGAGGCTGCAGTGAGTCAAGATCGCACCACTGCACTCCAGCCTGGATGACAGAGTGAGATTCTATCTCAAAAACAACAACCACAAATAAAAGAAAGAAAAATCAACTTGTAGTAATAATAGCTAACATTTGAATTTTGTGTGTTTTCAGTATATTTGTGGTATCTCAGTTAATCTTTGCAAAAGTCACATTAGGTAGAGACGATTATTATCCCCATTTTCAGATAGAGAAATTGAAGCACAACTTTCAGTAACTGTCCCCAAATCTCACTGCCAGGGAGAGCCAGGATGGAAGCCCAGGCAGTCTGCTGAGTGCCTGACTCTGTGTGAGCTCACAAGGAAAACATCTACCTAGCAACTAGGTCGTTTGGTTTGGAGCTACCTAGTAACTAACCCAGATTATCAGCTGGATCTTACCCACTCCTCAAACAAGATGAGATCAGTTTTAACCTCTAATTCTGTGACTTGTGAAAAGTTCAGTGCCTTCCTGGGCGTTTCTGTGAATTACCAGAGGCTTATGCGTTTGTTTCATTTCCAGTGGGTTCACACACTCTATGTAGCATTTCTGAGCTATTTTCTTTTGTCCCCATCCTGTCCTGATAATGGCCCAGTTGTAGGCACAGCATCCTCTCCCTGATTTAGCCTCTTTTCCCTTTTCCAAAACCATGTGTTCACTGGCTGAAGATTTGGGGGACCGCTATGACCAGTGGGTACCTGTTGACTGTAACATGGAACTGCCCCACCCTCTCACAAAAAAGATCAGGTGTGAAAAGGAAGTGTAATTTCCTACGCCTAAAGTATTATACTTCCACTATGTTTATATGTCTGTTATCTAAAACTTGTGACTTCAACTACATTAATCTATAGTGAATCCCTTTTATATTACATATTACTAGTTATAACTTAAGAGTTGTCTGTGGCTTTCTATTCCTGCATTAGAACTCTACCTAGATGACTTTGGGCAAGTTGCTTAAACCCTCCTGGTGGGAATGACAGTGTTCCTCGCATTACCATCATGAGCATGAAATAAAACAAAGTGCACAGCACAGTGTCTGGATGGTCAGGCCTCAGTAAGTGTTAGCAATTATTTCCCTGGTTAACCAAAAGCTGCTTATAGTTTGGTACGGCCGACACGTGGGAGGGAGTCTGCTGGTGGTAGGAAACACTGGAAGTGGAGAGTAAGCAGTGACCAGATCAGGACTTTGCATGTCATTACCAAGAGGATAGACTTTATCCTCTTGGTCATAGTTTCTGAAGCCATTCCTAATGGGAGACAAGTGTGATCTTCTATCTATAAGAGTGAGGCTATGGCCCAAGAAGCCCTCCAAAAACATTGTTTTATTTCCTGTTTAACTTAAAAAAAAACAAAAACAAACAAACAAAAAAACCTTTTCCACAGTAATTCTGTGTTCTATTTCACAGCATGTTCAGTGGCAAAGAGATGGTCTTCATAGGTCAATCCTTGGTTAAATAATTATAAAATGGATGGCATTTAGAAAGTCTCAATTCACATCAGAAAAAACCGTTTCCGCTGGGTGCAGGGGCTTATACTTGCAATCCTAAGCACTTTGGGAGGCCAAGACGATTGGATCGCTTGAGCCCAGGGGTTCAAGACCAGCTTGGGCAACATGGTTAAACCTTCTCTCTACTAAAAATACAAAAATTAGTTGGGTGTGATGGTGCATGCCTATAATCCCAGCGACTCAGGCGGCTAAGGCACACGAATCTCTTGAACCAGGGGGGTTGACGCTGTATTGAGCCAAGATCACACCACTATGGCCTGGGGACAGAGTGAGACCTTGCCTATAGAAAAAGAAAAAGAAAAAACCATTTCTAAACACTTAAGCCAACTTTTTTTTTTTTTTTTTTTTTTTGACAGAGTCTCACTATCGCCCAGGGTGGAATGCAGTACAGTGGCACCATCTTGGTTCACTGTAATCTCCATCCCCTGGGTTCAAGCAATTCTCCTGCCTCAGCCTCCTGAGTAGCTGGGACTACAGGTGCATGCCACCATGCCCAGCTCATTTTTTTGTATTTTTAACAGAGACAGGGTTTTGCCATGTTGGCCAGGCTGGTCTCAAACTCCTGACCTCAGGTGATCCACCCACCTCAGCCTCCCAAAGTACTGGGATTGCAGGTGTGAGCTACTGTACCTGGCCTGAACCAACTTTTTGAGATGTCTAAATTTCAATATCATGATATCTTTTTTTTTTTTTTTTTTTTT